ATAAATACACACCAAAAGATACTATGCAAAGAAAGATTGTTTGTTGAATTTTGTAAAGGATATTTTTTTATACTCTGGTTGGACGAAAGCAAGCTCAATACGAATGAATCTGGTGCATCGCAAATTCCTTCGCGCAAATCTACAGTCGCAACTCCAAGGCCATCCTACTTCGAGTAAGGATGATGTCAATTCTTGAATATCGTCAAGCGAAATGGAAACTATATTAACAACAATTATGTTAGGGATTTTTTGTCATCCATTTTCTCTTATAAATGTTTATTCGATTTAGGATACTGATAAGTGTTGCTCCAAGGCTAAAATAACTGTTTGTTCGACGGTATCATGTACCAAACAGGCCAGCGTAGGCTGTTGATTGGTTTCCAGAATTTGAAAGAACCGTACAGCTAGTTACTATTCCTTAGAACAGAATGGACACCTTCCAGAGGACTAATTCTATGCATCTGCATGTATCTCTTGGTTGCTAATGTGACTCATTCGCTAATTAAGCTTCAGATTACATAATCGCTAATATTGGGACTTTAATTTTGTATGAAAGTGTAAGAGGAAGAGATTCTAAGGTCAATGTTACCAGAAGAGGACGGTTGAATCCCGTTGTACGTTCAGATTGACACAATCCACAAGACCTTCTCCCTCTTTTTGGGTGAAAACGGGCTGGGCTTTCGTCCATTATATGATGGACATCATCAGAGCTGGGACACATTCTTAAAAATTCTCAAGGTAACACTAAAATAAGAATACCATCTGGTTCTATTGTACATGAGAAAAATAATTGTTTTTAAATCTAATTTTATTAACTTTCCGGTTTATAACTATATTGGTTTTAGTGTACCGAGAATATAACTCACAAGAATTCGAACCATACGCACATTGTAGTTATGAAGTATAACTGGGTTTTGATGAATCTCCTGACATAATAACATTATTCTTGGGACTTTCATTTTGTATAAAAGTGTAAGAAGAACAGTTTCAGATAAGATAGAGCTAACTTGATAATTTTACAACAATGATGATGTTCATTAAAAGATGGACGAAAGTTCAGTCCGTTTTCACCTGAAAAGTGGGGAGATGTCTCGTGGACTGCATCAATCACAACGTAATATTAGAGCCAAACGACGTAGTAAACCGTCCTCTTCTGGTGAGATCGATCTTCGAATCTCTTCTTCTTACACTTTCCTACGAAATGAAAGTCCCAACCATAATGTTATCTCAGGAGATTCATCGAAAACCAGTTACTCTTCATATCTACATAATCGATATTAGTTTAGTAAACATTGATGAAATGAAACAGTCCTTCTTAGTTGTCGTTGTGGGGATAAATAATAAATAATAGTTGTTTCACTTTTGTTTTCTCAACTTAGTCATATTGGCAGGAAGACCTAGAGGAACACACCTTGCCCCGAGTCCATATTATGCATGGGCATATATTATTTGTCCAGGAAGTACAGATTTATTCATAGTCTATATCACTTGCTGTTTATCTACATGACTACAAATAAAAGCAACAGTTTTACTGAACTAATGGATAGACTGTAAGCGATTAATTAGCCTCGAACATGCTTTAAAAATAGGTCATACTAGCAGACAAGACGTGTATGCAGATCTATAGAAGAGAGTAAATGCAACGCAGACTGCATGGTCCTGTCTAACTATGCAAACCAGCTAACCATTTAAGCTGGCCTATTGTGTACATTGTCCAAAGTAAAAAAAAAATTTATAACAGAACAAAACTTACTAGTTTCTTCATACTTCTATTTATACCCAATTCTTCGTCATCAAGGAATGACATTACTGTGGAGGCATAATAGCGAATCTGCTTGGAGGAAAGATTTAGTATAATACTTCAATGTGGCATCCATATGAGCAAAAATATCCTTTTGTAGAACCCTTTTAACCTCCTCCTCCTCCTCCTTTTTTCCTTCTTTTTCCTCATTCTAATTTAGACCAAGATGTTCTAGGAAACCAACAGATGTCGGTTTTATTCATAACTTCTTTCAAGTCATAACCTTGACGTCAATATAAAATAATATCGCTAAAAAACGAGATAAAAAGAAAAAGTTATTTTTGGACAAATATCATCATTTGGGCTTTATTTTGAATAGAAGTTGTATAGAAGTTGTTTGACCTTGTTTTCGCAACTTGGTCATATTGGCAGGAAGACTTAGAGGAACGCACCTTGTCCAGAGTCCATTGTATGCATCATCATTTTCAGTGTAGGACCATGGACGTGGTACATTTATTTTAAATAATTGTAGTGGGGACTTAATTTTTCGACGGATGCCATATAGTCAAAGGAAGACAATCGTAACAGGTTATCGTGTCGTGAATTTGTCGCCACTTCTTCAAATGTGCTCGTGTAACGAAACAGCATTCTAGGGAAGCCCGAATCTTCCAAATGGAAAGATGAGCCATTATTTATCACTTTTATGTTGATCAGCCATGTTGTTCTATTCACTTAATATTATTAGCTTAAAACCTAAATATTCGTGCACTCACTTCCATTTCGAGGGAAGTGTCCAATGAAGCGATTTGACGATCGCAGCCACCAGATAAAGATGGCTGCTCTACTGGAATGGTCTTATTGGCGCTTTTTCAGAAGCAATTCCCCTTTATCCCAACGGGACCACGCTAGGCTTACGTCTGTCCTCATCACAAACACGCTCACACGAAATGGCAATTTCACAATACTCAATTGCGCCTCTTTGCAACCGCCCGAAGCCGGGTCGCGAGATTCTGTCACTCGAGATCACATAAAGTGGTGAAAGACTGATAGTGGAATTTTCCAGCACAACTCACAAGAATGGGCCTCATGTGAAAACTAACTAGTTCCTTCATACTTTATATTTATACCCAATTCTTCGTCATCAATAATTGGTATTACTGTGGAGGCACAATAGCGAATCTGCTTTGGATGAAAGATTTAATATAATACTCCATATGAGTAAAAATATCCTTTTATGGCCCACTTTTTACCTACTCCTCCTCATATTTTGACTGAATTCCGCATAGCCATGTCTTCCAAAATATGCATTCTTCTGTACCACTGTGTTATAGTGCGATCGGCTGTAAGGCAAACTTTTATTTTGCCATTACAATAGATTAGGCTACTTATATTCATAGAAAGTAGGCTTTCGAGACTATCAGTAATTTTTGTGGTGAAATTCACCGATCCGTCTTTCATCGCCCAATTCAAATTAGCAAGACCGAAACTCTCATCCACGAGTTAACGATAGTCTCGAAAACTGACTTTTTCTGCATATCAACGACGCCGCTTCACAACCAGTTGGTCATAAGTTGGTCATATATAATCACCCTTTGAATGCGTTTGCTCTTGCCCTCGACGACGTTCACTTAGCTTTACTGTTTTACCATCAACTGGTTGCTAAGGCGCAACTGTGAAGATGCGAAATCCCCTCTTTGGCAGAAAGGCAGTGTGAGATTCGACGACATCCTAAGTTGGGAAAAATTCAACTATCTCGTCTTGCATTGCAATTCCTACTTCAGCTTTATTGACGGCCTCGAGACCTAATCCCATTCTCCCCAGACGTCGCGACTACTGGAGCCGGATGTCACGGCAGCAGATAGCCTCGGCGATTCGTTGCGTGGACAACTTGTTTTGGCAACAAACAGTCGCCTTCGCGGCGCAGGGGAAGATGGGCTATTCTTGCTCGGCCAAGCAACAAAGGCTCAAGGATTCGGGAAGTGCTTGAACAGCCCCAGTCGGCCGGGCAACACGTACCTCCGGTTGCCTGGCCGAAGAGTGCCGCGTGTTTGTTCACCCATTCGCTGATCGATAGACCGGGTACATGTACAGCCCCAAGACAGGGATTGGCCGATGAGCCGCAACAATACGCTATCTGCTCTCTCTCTCTCTCTCTCTCACACACACACACACACAACCCACTGACCCACCTACGCACAGACGAAATGCTTGGGCGTAACGGCCTAACCCTGCGTTGATGGCATGCCACTATGCCCGTCGCAGCATGTGGCAGCATATTGTTGGCCCCGGGGTAGACCGTCCAGGCCGTCTGTCTGTGTGTATATCTGTTCGTCTGTGTCTGTATATATATTTGTTTGTAGTTGAGGCTGTGTACTGCTGTATGCACTTGATCGCGGACGCATGAGGGCCGCAGCTCCGGCTTCTTCGGCCCGTTGTCGAGGTGGATGTGTTCGCTGTTCGCTGTACCGGCCCGTCTGATGGCCAGGTTGCCGGGTTGCCGGGTTGCCGAGTTGGTGGGTTGCTGGGCCGCCTTTTGCCAATCTGTCCGGGCGGACAACCGGCTGGAATGCGGCTGAGCCTAAAAATGGATTGCAAGCAGGAGACTGGGACCCTCGGTACATCGAGGGTGAAAGGTAGGCCAAGGGGCTGGTGGAATAGGCTGTTTCTGTATGTCGGAGAGGGCGGCTCCTTTTCAAGGCCGTCCGCGGGCAAAGTGAGGCAGGAGACGACCCGAGCATGTCAAGGCAGAAGAAGAGCCTGGTCCGACTGAGGAGAGAGAAGAAGGCATCCGAAAATGGCAGGCACGAAATGCGGACGTGTGATGCGAATGTGAACGAGATCCAGCCCCAACGAAGGGAAGGGGACCGGGCCCGGGGCAAGACGGTAAGCCGAGAGGCGAATAGCGGACTGGCTCTGCAAAAAGGATAGGATCCATTCGCGAAATAGGTAGGCCTCGAGAGTAGCCGTAATGTTCATATCATCCCCTTGTCAGCCTGGGTCGGCTAAGGAGGGATTGTTGAACTGTCCCCACAACCAGATGAATGGGTGGCCTAGTTCTTAATAAGGAATTATTGATAATCTGGAAAGCTACTTATAATGAAAATAAGTAGTGTCGTCGGCTGCAATGGCAAACACGTCGGATTAAGCGACAATCCAACCATGACAATGCGAGTCGGGAGAATCTTGCATTTGCTTGGCGACCGACTGGCATCGGTAGTCCAGTACACGACTCGGGTTCGAATCCCGCTGGCGTTGGTGATGAAACTGCAGTTGTGGGAAAATTCAAATATAGCTGCTTCATTAGGGTTTCTAGAACTTCTATGGAAGGCCTACCGTTAGGCTCGAAATCCTATTCAATACGACTAGACTTTGCTTATTGTGTCTACTCATAAAGTAGGTGTCGAGTGCAT